TGGTTGAATCAGAAAGAGTATGTGATATTTTGTGATAGCTAGAGTGTTTTAGATTTGAGTAAGAATGCCATGTACTATGCTAAAACAAAGCACATTGGTGTTAGATATCACTGGTTACATTCAGTGATTGAGGAATAGCAGATGTTGTTGAAGAAAGTCCATACTGATGAGAATGTAATAGATATGTTGACTAAAATACTTTTTAAAAATAAGCTTGAACTCTATAGTAACTTGGTCGGAATTAGTTCTTTAGCCAATTTAAGTTTCAAATGAAACTGCTAAGTGATAAATCTCCTCATAATAAGGCTGAAGGGGGAGATTGTTAGGAAAATAGGGTCCAACCACATATAATTTATTTTTGACCAATCAAAGATCATGGGCCTTGGTCTTTCTTTTTACATAGAGCCCTAGCTACTTAATAAAAAGAGGTAGGACTATTTTAAGGTGGTATCGCAAACTAAGTGAACAAAGGAGATTGTTGGGATATGGTTCACATGTGAGTAAAGAATCTCATATCATTAGAAAATTTAAATGAGATGTCTTATATATGTATGAAAAACTTAAGAACTTAATAGCTTAAGCTTTTGGGCTCAAGTGATGTCCAACATATATTTATGGGCTCTCTGGTGCGCTCTCATGAACTTTAAGTGTAGTTTATCTCCCCCAACAAAATTAGCCATGGCCAATATTAGTGTATGGGAAAGATTTGTATTTAAGAATTACTTAAACTCACACATTTTTAGTCTTTCATATGCAAATTAGTCCTGTTTTTGCTCCCTCCCCACATTTTGTATGAGAAAAGAACAGTTTCAGTTAAGATTTAATTTATGAGAATAGAATGGAACTTTTTTGGTTTGGTGAAAAAAATAATTGGATTCCTTCCGGCATTATTCTAAAACTAGAATGCAAACATCATTTAAATTGATGAATATTACATTAGATTCCTTATTCTTGAATACAACAATCACCATGGATTTAAAAAAAAAAAAAAGACTGCTGAAATTCAACATCATTGAAGGTAATGAAATTTGAATTGTTTCTAATTAACCTATACCTCTATTTTTTTATCAGTTTGTTTGAATTTTTTTGAATCCAATTAGTCATATTTTCAAAATTCATTTCTCTCTTTTCTTTTTTTTTCTAAACAATGGACAGAAAAGAATAATTGGATTCTTCTTCACGTGATCGTCCAATGCAAGTATTTATCATAAAATTCCAAATATTATATTTTCCAATTTTCCCTGCAAATTAGTCATGTTTTGTGTGTGGTCTGTTTATAAAGTGTTACATTTTTAATTTTAGTAATCAGGATTCAATTATTACAATCTTAATTAGTCATGTTTTGCTCTCATCTCTACCTCCATGTTTTTTATGAGAAGAAGGGATTTAATCAATATTAATTTCTTTTTGTAATCAAAAAATAAGAAGAACCATTGGATTCATTTTCAGCTTTCACCTTGTTCTTAAATGCAAGCATCATTAACAATGAAATTTATTAACAACGAAATTTAAGAGCTTTGAGAAAAGAATCATGTAATAGATTTATGAAAGAAACTTAAACATAAGATTTCAAGATCTTCGTAGGTCAATTTCTACTTATTATTTTGTGACAACATTTACATACTCGCCCAGGAATTTATATTATATGGGCTTCCCAAGTTCCAAATTATGGCACATGATGCTATCAATCAAAATGATTTTTGATTATACAGATAATATCTGAAATTGGATTTGCAATGCACAACTAATATCTGCTTCACTTTCCATTATTGGGAGGAGCCTCCCAATTAGTGGAGCAATCCCCTCCTCTAATCATGCTTCATGTTCTGTGTGCCATGTATCATTTAAAACCAGTCTGTCTATCATGTTCTTATACAAAACAAATCAGCAAAAACAACTCTTTACACTATTACTTGCCTTAATGACAAATCATTAATTAACTACATTTTTCCTTAATCAGCAAAAACAAATCATTCATGTTTTCAGACAAAAGAAATTAAAGAAATTAACTACATTTTAAGTAGTATTAGTTTTAGTTAAAAGTAATTAATAAGGAGCACATGTTTATTATGAATGAAACTAATTTTGTTTGTTTTTATGGATAGATAGCACTAATTCATCAATGGTTTTCAAACTCAAACATTTATAAGTTGGTAGTTCTTTTAATAAATATATTAATTGAATGATTTTTTATTTTGTGCATTGAAAATTAAGAAAAGGGGCAAATTTTAAAATTTTTTTAATACAAAGGAGGGAATAGGAAAAATGTTTACAAGTATTAAAACTTGAATTCTAAATGTTATGGTGAATGCGTGAGCTGAACTAAATTTGGGTTCAAATTTTAAATTTTCTACTCATTTAGGAAGCGAATTTTCTTGTAATAATCCCAGCATTTTTTTTAATCCATAAAAATGCAGGCTGATCCATCTAAAAAACTGGGCTATTTTTTATCCTATAAATTATAAAACACTGTGCAGAGGTATTTCTTCTGATGAATCAGGAACAAAATCACAATTCTGATTTTATGAACATTATATCCTTACATACAATTCAATTGAAGAGACAGATAAAATTAAAAGTGGGGATCAATGGAAATGCCTGTGGTGATGATGCCGATGCCTACAATCATCCAACCCAAAACATTGCATGACAGGGTAACAACTCACAAACAAGCATCTCCCTAGTCCCCTGAATGCTGAGGCTGTTACTCTAACACAAGGGCAGTAACAATATGCTTTGAATGAGCCATTTTTTCTTTCTTGAAGATGATCGCCGCCACGATCATTGCTGCACATGTTTATATCCGCCTTGATTGATCACTTGATTGCCTAAAACACCATTAGACCAAGCAAGAAGCTGCGGAAAAAGCTATGAAGAAAGGGTTATTACCTATCTTGTAGCATCAAAATTCATCATGATATAGTTGTTAGTTGAGGTAGTGAGAAAGAATATTCGCAGATGGGATTTCTGTTGAATTAAGAGAAGTGAAAGATTTGAAGAAGAAGAAGAAAAAATGGACAAAATTGATCACCCAACTGGGACGCGTAGGCAACGTGTGCTTTGCGTGTTAGGTCATCTTATCATATATGATTGTGCCTTTATATTTTATTCTAATAAAAGTTGAGAGTTAGCCGCTTGTCCACCAAATTTTTTATTTGAAAGCTTAAAGTACATGATGTTGGAAACCCTTAGTTAATCTGAAGTTTTTGACCTTTCTGAGGTAGGTGTTCAACAAAAGAAACATAGCCAACTTGTTTTATTTTAAACTTTAAAATGTTGAAATTCCAATTTTTCTATAAAATCGTCACTTTTTTTACATAAATAACAAGTTTAGATGAAAAGAGATTACTCTATTCTAAGATTAAGACATATTGCCAGTTTCAACAAAAATTTAATCCATAATTGTCCTATAAAAAGACTGTTGATAATGAAAATTGAACTTAAATTTTACTAATAAAATATTTAATTTTTTCCAATTCAACTAATTAATTGGCCACTGGTTCGTTGCGTGAAGGGACGTATCCTAAAAAGTTTTCCATCTATCTTCATTAAATATTTATATAAAACCATTATTTTTAACGTTTTCATCTTCTCTATCTTCAGTTCCATTGGCCAATTCTCAACCATACAAAGGTAGCTTGAAACTAATTATACTAATTTTCTAGTTACAATTTGGAGGGTACAACCTCCGCTATCAGGTTGCAAATGAACTGGTCAAGTACCTTTTAATTTCGGACTTTACAGTTAAAAAAAATAGACAAATCAAACCTCAAGTTGAACTTAGTTTAGCTTGGACTTTGGTTTGTTAGGAAACATATAGTACTATATATTTTATATTATATACATGTATGTATGTATGTATGCTTGTTTGTATGCATGTATTTGGATGCATAAAAGTTTTGGGCTAATGGTTGGGATATGGATTTGAAATTGAGAACTCAGCCCGGTACAGGAAGAATTCTACTATTCTATAGGCTGGGTTAAGCATGGGCAAAATGTTGGTAGATCATTTGGTTGTTAACATGACAGACACCGCTTGGTTAGGCTTGGGCTTCTTAACAGCTACAACCTAATTAAACGTTAAACAGAATCATGTAGAGTTGAGTCATGCATCCAAGACGCCATGGTGCATGTCTTGTATATTTTCAATTAGATAAACAAAATTGCAGCTCTAAAACAATGGACTGATTAAACGTTAAATGTTCATATCTGCAGAAAAGACAAAGAGCACTATTAAATGAACTGATTAACCACTGATTATCATATGATTACAATCTAAAAGTAGCCCTATTTTTTAAGAAATTATTATGTTAGGAGAAAATGTTGAACTAAAACCTACTTTTTTAAAGAAACTTTAGCTTGAGATAGGGCAGAATTGGAAATCAGATTGTGAAATTCATCCATAGATACAGCCATATAGTTCCCTCACATTTAGAATTAGCTCCATACATGATATCATTGATCTACAAGGTCTATGGAAATATAAAATAGACAACTCCAAAGACCAAAATAAAAGACTGACAATCAATTTCGAGTTAAGAAATCCCAAGTTAATAACTAATCGGCTAATCCTAAGAGTGTCTCTGGCTGCTACTTTGCTATCCATACCAATGAAATCAAATTGCAAAGCAAAGTCATAACAGAAGTGGTTTTCAAATTTCTAGTCAAATATACATAAACATTAAAAAAGAAAGGTATAATAAGTGTGAGACTAAGGTTTCATTTTCTTTCAGTTACCTTCACTAAAATATTTTCATTATAGTGGAACCGTTGACAAAGTAGCTGATGACATTTGCTGGCATTTCAAACTTCTTGCATGTCCATTCCTCAAATTTTATATTTATGTACTGCAATTAGCAAATGATAACCGGTTTTCATCAAGCAAGGAAACATCGCGAGAACCTAAACACATAGAACTAGTTATAAGAGGTTGGAAAAGGAAAACTTTGATAATATAACTCGTAGTAGTTTTTACAGTAGCAGTTTAATCATTTATTGTGCAAGAGTAGCAACGAGATGTGCCCAACAAAACATGAATTCAATCGCAGCTGAGAGGAATGAATCTTTTTCAACCTGAAGAATCAGCGAAAAGGTCCATTATAAGAATGCATAAGATAACAAAAAGACAACAATAAATATAATTGGAGAAGCAACACCCGCAGCACCACATCAAGGAAAAAGGAATTTTTAACTTTAGATTTTACTCATTCAATTTCTCAGATATCCTTCAAAATTTATTTTCATTTAAATTTTCATAACCCAAAACCTAGTCTAAATGAGCATGAATGCAAGATGGGGGAGAATCTAAAATTAAACAGATTGTGTAATTCAAGACACAATGTATCTCATACTTAAGCATGCTCTTTGGCAATAAACAACAACAAAAGAAAGGCAAATGGACTGTTATACTTACGGTAAATTTAACATAACTTATCTAGAGAAGAACAACAGATGACCTTTTCATGTAAAATTTCTTCCTGCTCTAGTTAATGATCCCTTATCCTTTTGCGAAGGTGAACTCCTTCATTTAATTTTTCAACATAGCAGTTTGAAAGAAAAATATATGTTCATAAGAGGTGATCGGAAATGGAAATTTATTAGAAAAAAAATGAGTTAGCATGAGTATAGGACATTCACATCATTAAGAGAAGGAAGGTAAGCCGTTCAGCAAACTATAGGAGCATAACCACGGTACTTAAAAAGTCATGAACTTGGGCGCATCAATCACAACCTTGCATCTATATATTTCACCCTCAAGCGATTCAGCCAATTTGAATGAAAGTTCCTAGTTTTTCAGATTAAGAACATTCACATATAAATTTTTATGCTCACCAGTCAAAATTGAAAAAAGTTTGAAGATTTGGGCAACCTGAAAAAAGCCTAGTCCAATCATGGAGAACCCACACCACAAGATGCAAAGACTTCAGAGCTGGCAAAGCCAGAAATTTGGGTAGTTTTATGCGATGTTCACCCCAATCATGAGCTTGCAAATCGAGTGCTGTCAGCGATTGACAAGTAAACAATCTTCCGGGTAATAAAAGGCGGGAATCAGAGTAGGAATGGACGGAGAGTTGTTGGAGATTTTGTTCAACATCATAATATATCAACCCCTTCACAAGAAAACCATACCGCTCGTACGTGTAAGAATGGACACAAACCTTGACAAGGTCAGTGGGTCGACACCGGAACAGGACTTGGCTGATGAAATCACTGAAAGAACCCATTGCGGTAACAATTTCATCATCTCGATATTGTAGTCAAGGTAAGGAAGTGTTCTCCAGAGGAACTTCCATCTCTTGGACAAAACAGAGGTTTGGACAGCGTACTTTATGTTTAGGAAAGACAGAATTTTGTGGAGAACATCCTTTAATTTGCTGATTCTGTCTTCTCCAACACCATCGCCTTTGATGTTCACTGACATCTTCCTCTTCCACAACAAATCTCTGGATTCAAATTTCCAAGGCACAATAAAGCTTCTGCGCTGCAGGGTTTTATAACATTGGGTCCAATTATTTAATATTTATAAAATTAATAAATATCAAAAATTAAAAAAATTATTTTTATGTTAAATAATAATTTTGAAAGTAATAATTAAAATTTATTTATTAATTTATTATATATTTTATAATTGTTAATATAAAATTAAAATAAAAAATAAAAAAAATTAAATTGCAGGGATATTTTTGTCTCTACAACTTAATTTAAAGGATTAAAAAAAAACTGTCTTGAGAGTTCACTAGGGGAAAAATGGGGAATGGCTAGCCGAGGGTAACCATGCTGCATCAAAAATCCATTTGGATCACAATTGATTAAAATAGATGGTAATCGTTCTCTCACTAGAAATACTATTACATCCAAAAGGAATCTTTGCCTACATTAACCAATATATATATATATATATATATATAGATAGATAGATAGATAGATAGATAGATAGATATATATAAGTTTATTATTGCACCAAAATGTCTTTAACTTTTAATTTTTAAGAATTTCTATTTACACTCACATAATTATTCTATAAACTTACTTTTTTTTATTACAAAAATACCCTTACAAAAAATTACATAATTAATCATTGTTAGATTACTTTTTTATCCGTCAATACAACCTTTTGTTTCTTCTTCCACTTTTCTTCCTTTTCTCTTTTTCCTTTTCTATTATTCTCTTCCATCATAAACCCTATCCAACACAAATTATAGACCCTATAAATACGTGTTATTCTCTAGTATATTGGGAAAATGAGTATCCATAACAAAAAGAAAATCGGTGGGGTTTAGGGTATATATAGATATTAGAGTGTGGGATATGTGATTTGAGGCTTAAGAATTAAAATTTTACGGTTTTGAATTTGTATTTTCAGATTTTTTACAAGTTTTCGAGAAAATGTAGATTTGAAAATTTTTAAAAACTATACACATCTAGAACCTACAATTTCACACACTATTTAACCAAAATTTAACAAAATTAAAGATAAATTAATTAAAATCAAACAAAAAAACAAAAGTAAATTAGTTTGGTGAGTCGATTAACTTCGAAATTTAATGATTTTAGTTTGATTTTTGAGATTAGGATTTGAGAGATTAGGAAGAATCGGATGTTGAGGGGAAAATGGGGGTGAGTGGTGTTTACGAGAAATGAAATTTAGGGTTATAGATATAATGCTTAAAAATAATTTTTAACTTTTGAATGAGGAGTGTAATTAGTAATTGAGTGTATTTAGTAATTATCGGATAAAAATAAATGTTTTTTTAATTTTTTAATTTTTTGATATTTGAATTTATTAAAAATTAAATCTTGATTATTGAAATTAAAAATCTTTAATATTTAATTTACACTCAAATAAATTATTAACTAAGGTTTCAAATAGCACAAACGTTGAGGTGTAATGGCAGCTATTTAGCGATAGCGACACCGTGAATGACAATCACACTCACAGTGGAGCTTTGCGGTCGCATATAGTGGCATAATGGCCAATAAAGGTTGTTACGGGACGTTAAAACTGCTTTTTATATTTTCCAAATTAATTTACGCCATAAACAAAATTATACCAAAGAAGAAAATCCACCTTACTTCAAACAATTAGGTCAAAATCCAACAAATTTAAGCCTCATTCAAACTAAAAAATTGAAATTAATTCATGGTAAAAAAAAAACAAATAACCATTTTTTTAAAATTTGAGTTATAGATGATTTGAAGAAAGAGCTCTAATATCACCTCTATACTCGTTGGCTTTAGGCTATGCTCTTTGTTGTCTTCTCCAATTTTGACTCTTAAGAGGGATAAATAGATGAGACATGATAGTTTAAAATCGCTTGTAGGAGAGAAGAAAGGATCTAAGCAAGACACAAGGGTGGTTGGTTGTGTTTGGTGGCTCTGTTGCAAGATGGGGAAGAAAAGTCAAGACAATGGAGGAACGAAAAATAGAGGAAAATGGGATGGGGATTTGGGAGGCTGAATACCATGCTCTACTACTGGCAAGAAGAGAAAACAAATGGGTTTAGAATTTACTGAGAATTTGGCTTGCAAAGTGAAGGCTGAAGTCAAGTGGTTTTAAAACTTAAAAAAAAAATTTTTTTTTGGGTTTAGTTGAATTGATTGGAGGAAAAAGTATATATTGTTGAAAAAAGGATATTTGAAAAAATTTTAGTGATTTAAGTGAAATTTTAATAGGGATGTTAGCTCTTAATTAGTTAATTTAATTTTTTATAATTTAATACATGTACAATCTTTTAATTTAAAAGAATTAATTTTATTACATAATTTTGATATTATTAATGTTATTGTTAATTCAATTTTTTTTTGTAAGTTTTGACTACTGTTATGTTGCTAACTAATACATTATTTTAGTTAATTAATTATTTAAGATGTTGCATTTGTGTATTTGATTTAATGGTAAAATATAAGTGTCTATATTCAAGGAATTATATTTTAATCCCTTACTTAAAAGTGTGTTTAGTTTAGGAGAATCCACAAATTTTTTTTTCTGAAATCTTGATTGTGTTTTTCACGTTTAGTTTAGGATAATCTGATTGCTAGGAAAAATGTCATATTTCTAATAGTACCCAAAGTTTTAAAATCAGAAATCCATATCTTTCTGCGGTATATTAAGATTTCAGGGGAGAGGGAAATTATCTTATTTTCAAATTTAACCTTAATAAAAAATTTGTTACATATTCATTACTTTTTTTGAAAGGTAGGTTTGAAACTCAACTTTATCCTTTTTTAAAAAAAATTATCTTATTTTTCATTCAATTTTAATATGCGATAATTAAAACGTTTCAAAGGTAGAAATGTCTTAATTGATTATTAATTAATTGAAATGCTTTCATTAAAATTTTTTGCTTTCATTGAAATGCCTTAATTGCTATCAATTAAGGCATTTTTTCATTGAAACATCTTAATTGATAATCGATTAAGGTGTTTCTTTTGAATAAACATCTTATTTTATTTTTTTCTAAAATCTTTACAAAAGTATTAAATAAGCATTTATTTCTTGAAACGCCTTATTTGATTTCAATTAAAGTATTTCTTCATTAAAACACTTTAATTGATATCAAATAAAAGCGTTTCTTTCTTAAAATACCTTAATTGATATCAATTAAAGCATTTCTTCTTAAAAACGACTTGAAATGCCTTAGTTGATAATTAATTATGACATTTCCTGTGAACCAATGCCTTATTTGATTTTTTTTTAGAATTTTTACAAAAGAATCAAATAAGGCATTTCTTTCTCGAGACACCTTAGTTAATATCAATTAAGGCATTTCAAACATTTCTTTGAACAAATACCTTATTTGACCCATTCAAATAAAGCGTTTCTTATTTACAAATGCTTTATTTGATAAACAATTTTTTAGAATCTTTACAAATTCAAATAAAGTGTTTTCTTTGAACAAATGCCTTATTTAATGATTTTTCAACATATTTACAAAAGCAAATAAGGCATTCAGCTTTTTAAACACCATAATTGATTTTTTTTTATTTTTTTATTTTTAATACAACAATTACGACTTGATGTTTAGTTAAACTCCATAGTTTAGTATATTTAATTAAAAAAATTTTAAATATTTCTTTTTTTTTGCTGCTAAATGTATCGTTTGTCTTTTGAATTTTTTTTCATTAAAACAAAATGAAAGGTTACTAACAACTTGTCAAAAAATTTATGGTAATTATATATGAATTAATTAATCAAGATTTTCTCCAACCAAACGAGTGAATTTGATTATGAGATGTCTTAAAAATCAAATAAAACCTCGAGTATCATACATTCTCTTGTAATCCAATATTCCATAAACCAAATGCTCCATAATAATCTTATCATATAAAAATACTGTTCATTATCATTCATACTAATAAGATTAAATATGTATTTATAACATTCATGTCCATAAAATTCATAAATATATTAACGAACATGTTAGATATACATACTAATTTATGAGTTGTAACTAAAAATTTTATTTTAACATATAAATGAAAGAATTAAAATGTCATAAATTACTTTAAATATCATAAATAAATGTTATTATGTTTATAATAATTATTTAGTTAATTTTATGATAAATTACGTAAAATAGAAAAAATTCAAAATCACGATAGGCTTAACTACCGCTATTTTATTTGTTACATTTATAACCATAATAAACATGATACAACCAAAAATGTAATCGTGATCATAATTTAAATCTCTACCCTTAACATTTAATTTATACCTAAATAAACCCTTATCTTTTAATTATACCTAAGTAAACTCTTAACATAAATTAATATTTTATTTAAAATATTAGTTTATTTATATTAAAATCAAAAGATAAAAATTTATTTGAGTACAAAAAAAATATAAAAATTTATGTAAAAAAATAGAATAATTCAAAAAGTTTTTAGTATTTTAACCAACTTTAAAAGTATACTTCTTGATTCCTCATTGGTAAAATTTCTTTTGTAACCATCATTTCTTAAGGACACGTAACAATAATTTGTTGTCAATTACGGGGCAATTAGTATTGTCTCTTCCTTTACTTTTGGGTTTAAATTTGTTATTTAAACATATATCAAACGAAGCCTTAGTGTACTAAACCATGAGATAAACCACGCTGTTTTAAATAATTGAAATGATGATCGATGTAGTACAAACTTGCAATTACACAATAATGAATTTTAACTTGATCTGAGAACCACCCGTAGTCTTCCTTTTAAGCCTTGTAATAGATCAGAGATAGAGTTTTCAATGTAGAATGAAAATAACTTTAAAACGTACTGCAAATATTAATTTTTTTAAAATTTATTTCATTTATATATAATTATGATATGTATAAAGAATTATCGAAATGTCTTTAAAACACAATGAAATCTTGTTTAAGATCATTGCATTTGTGATTTCAAACTACTAAACGCCTTTCATGTGAGATGAAAATATTTTGATTTGAACAAGGTTTTCTATAACAAAACAATGTAAAAAACACTTGCTTTTTATTTGAGAATGAGTGAGAG